TCGTCCCCGAAATCCAAGTATTAATCGAAAAGAAATGGGTATTGCTCCCTCATCGAGACTTCGGTCTCCCAAGTTTCTTCTTCGACTCGATCACTCCTCCAAAGAACCTTTACCATAGGAATCTCCTTATTCCTAAGCTTCTTCACTTGTTGACCTACTATCTTCACCGGCTCTACCGCATATTGCAAATCCTCACGGATCTCTACCGGTGGTTTCTCAAGAATATGAGATGGGTCCCGTATGTACTTCTTGAGCATCGATACATGAAACACGTCATGTATCTTCTCAAGCTCTGGTGTCAACTTGAGGCGGTAAGCCACGGCCCCAATCCTTTCAAGGATCTCAAATGGACCAATGTATCGGGGATTAAGCTTCCCCCTCGATACAAATCGGATGATGCCCTTCCAAGGAGAAATCCTTAGAAAAACCTCATCACCGACCTCGAACTCCAACGGTCTCCGCCGTTTGTCAGCATAACTCTTCTGTCGGTCCTGAGCAGCCCTCAGTCTATCCTGAATGATCCTCACCTTAGCTTTGGTGATTTCAACCAGTTCTATACCTTCGAGTTTGGCCTCGCCAACCTCGTCCCAACACAATGGTGTTCTGCATTTCCTCCCATACAATGCCTCATATGGGGGCATGCCGATACTTGCTTGATAACTGTTGTTATAAGCAAACTCCACTAGGGCCAAATGCTTGTCCCAACTTCCTTGGAACTCCAGCGCACATGCCCTAAGCATGTCTTCCAAAATCTGTATCACTCGTTCGGACTGTCCATCCGTCTGTGGGTGAAAAGCTGTGCTAAACTTCAGTTTAGTACCCAACGATGCTTGAAATTTTGGCCAAAATCGGGATGTGAATCGTGGATCCCTATCCGAGACAATGGATATTGGGACTCCATGTAGTCTCACAATCTCCTCCGTGTATAGCTTGGCCAATCTTTCAAGAGGATAAGTAATGTTGATAGGCAAAAAGTGTGCACTCTTGGTGAGCCTATCAACCACTACCCATACCGCGTCATAGTTGTTCACTGTTCGTGGTAGCCCCACCACGAAGTCCATGGTCACGTGCTCCCACTTCCACTCCGGGATGGTAAGTGGTTGCAAAAGCCCTGCCGGGTGCTGATGTTCTGCCTTAACTTGCTGGCAAGTAAGGCACCGACTCACATATTCTGCGATGTCTCTCTTCATACCTGACCACCAGTAACTCTCCTTCAAATCTCGGTACATCTTAGTACCTCCTGGATGCATAGCATAAGCTGAAGAATGAGCCTCCTCAAGTATGGACTTCCGGAGGTCTTCATTCTTTGGTATGCATACACGATCCTTAAACAATAATAGACCGTCATCACGTACTCGGAAGTTCTCAACGGGTCCTTCAAGGATCCTTTCACGGATCTTCTGACATTCCTCATCAATGGCCTGACTTCGACTAATCTCGCCCAATAGGGTGGGCCTAACCTCGAATCGAGCAATGAGAGCCCCGCACGTGGACACCTCCACGCGCGCTCTCAATGCCTGTAGGCATGTGAGTAGCGTCCCCGACGTACTCTTTCTGCTCAGTGCGTCGGCCACGACGTTGGCCTTTCCTGGATGGTAATCGATGATCAAGTCATAGTCCTTGATCAACTCCATCCATCTCCTCTGTCTCATATTCAACTCTTTCTGAGTGAATACGTACTTCAAGCTCTTATGGTCTGTAAAAATGTGACATGTCTCCCCGTAGAGATAATGCCTCCAGATTTTCAGTGCAAACACTACCGCCCCCAATTCTAGGTCATGGGTAGGGTAGTTCACCTCGTGCTTTCTCAATTGCCTTGAAGCATAGGCAATCACTTTACCGTTTTGCATCAGTACACATCCAAGCCCTTGGATGCTAGCATCACTGTATATATCATACCCTATCCCTTGTATGGGTAGGGCAAGGACTGGTGCTTCGGTAAGTCGTTTCTTCAGTTCAAGGAACCCTTTCTCACACTTGTCGTCCCATATGAACTTGGCCCCTTTCTTTGTGAGCTTCGTTAATGGAGACGCCAATACAGAAAATTTTTCAACAAATTTACGATAGTATCCTGCTAAGCCAAGGAAACTACGTATCTCTTTCACATTCTTGGGTCTCTCCCAATCCATGATAGCCTTTATCTTGGCGTTATCCACAGCAACGCCCGAACCGGATATGACGTGACCGAGAAAACCAATCTCCTTGAGCCAAAATTCGCATTTAGAGAACTTGGCAAAGAGTTGTTTTTCCCTTAGTCGATCAAGTACAAGCCCCAAGTGATGTTCGTGCTCCTCTTCACTCTTGGAGTATATTAAGATGTCGTCAATGAATACTATCACAAATTGATCTAAGTATTCACTAAATACACGGTTCATCAAGTCCATGAATGCCGCCGGTGCGTTGGTTAAACCAAACGACATCACAAGGAATTCGTAATGACCATATCTAGTGCGAAATGCACTCTTAGGTATGTCACTCTCCTTGATCTTCAACTGATGATACCCCGACCTCAAATCAATCTTCGAGAACACTATTGCCCCTCGAAGTTGATCGAACAAGTCATCAATCCTCGGTAAGGGATACCTGTTCTTGATGGTGACCTTGTTCAACTGTCGGTAGTCGATACACATTCTTAGTGTACCATCTTTCTTCTTCACGAAGAGTACGGGTGCCCCCCACGGTGAATGACTGGGTCTGATGAACCCGTTGTCCAGTAATTCTTGTAGTTGGACCTTCAACTCTTGGAGTTCGGCCGGCGCCATTCGATAAGGAGGAATCGAAATGGGTTTGGTTCCCGGCTCTACTTCAATTACAAACTCTATCTCTCTATCGGGTGGAAGCCCCGGTAGGTCTTTGGGAAAGACATCCGGGTATTTGCACACGACCCGTACATCTTTGATGTCGACTTCCTTCTTGGTATCGTCCACCACGTAGGCAAGGTATGCGTGGCATCCCTTCCTCATCATCTTCCGTGCTCTCATCACGGATATTATACAAGCATTAGATTTCCCCCGATCTCCCTCGAAACATAGCGTGTTTCCTTGATCATCCTCGAGCTCTAACACCTTGGTGTAGCAATCTACTCGAGCATGGTGTTTCTCGAGCCAATCCATTCCTAGGATTGCATCGAACTCTAACATGCTTAGAGGTACGAAATCACAAGTCAAAGGTTGACCCGTCACTTCTACCTCACACGACGGATAGTAATGATTTCTCTCCACGTCGTCTCCTAACGGTGTGGAGACTAGCAACGTTTGAGTCATAGGTGTCAATGGCACGTCAAGGCCCTCGGCGAACGCCTCACTCACAAATGAGCGTTGTGCCCCGGTATCAATGAGGATCCTCGCACACCTACCATTGATCTTTAATGTTCCTACATTTATACACCATGTAAGATACATTTTCTAATGTTTTTACACATTTTTAGGAGGTTATTAGGCTCATACTAATGTTTGGAATCAAACGGGGGTCCAAACGTAGAAGAACGGGGCGAAAAAATCAAGTTTCGGCTATTGGGGGTCCACGCACGGCGTGCCTGAGTGGCACGCACGGTCGTGCGTGAGTGAGAAAATCGAAACCCGCCACTGCCGGCTACGCACGATCGTGCGTAGCTGGTCACGCACGATCGTGCGTCTCACGCACGGCGTGCCTTACCTGCACGCACGGCGTGCGTCTGCGCGGAAAATGGCCAAAGGCTGCTGCCTCGCACGCACGGTCGTGCGTCTGTAGGTACGCGCGACCGCGCGTAGTTGTTTTTAGCCCATTTCGCTCCGAATTCGCGGGGTTTGACCCCGGGGTGGCCCGCACCCAAACCCAATGACTCGTATGACCCAGATAAGCCTAGAAATACATGGGAATACGTGTATTACCTGCAACGGAGTCCGGGTTTGCTCTCGCATCCGCCTCGGTCATCGCGTACACTCGGGCTTGGGTCCCACCTTGGTTGACGGATGCGGCATGACTTGTGGATGCGCCGCCTCTTCCCGTGCCGCCGTTTGACGGTCCCGCACGGTTCCTTCCCGTCATGGTCCCTCCCCCGGCTCCCGAGGCACTCTCTTGCATCAATTGAGAGCAATTGGCCTTCATATGGCCCGCATTCCCGCACTTAAAACACCTCGGTGGTTCATTGCACTTCCCAAAGTGTTGTTTTGAGCAATTGGGACATCTAGGTGGCCCCGAGTTCTGTGGCCTAGGTCCGTGCCACCTCGCATCCCTGTTCTTCTTTGCCGGTGGGGCCGGCGCCTTGAATGAACCACCGCCACCACCACCACCCCCGTGGTTGTTTCTTCGAGGATGATCGGGTGGTCCCGAATTATTCCACTTCCTCTTCTTCGCCTCTTCGGCGTCCCTTGCTTTCCTCTCATTCCACTGGGCCTCTCCAAGAAGACCCTGTTCCACCACCTCGCTAAATGACATGTGGCGAGAGTATGTAGCTCGGTCGCGGATGTCCAAGAGTAATGCATCCCAGAAGTGCTCCGTCATGCGGTTTTCATCAACCGCGTACTCTGGCAAGAACCTCGCCAAGGTTCTAAACTCTTGTTCCAGCTGCTTAACCGTGCCGCCATCTTTCTGTTTGAGGTTAGTGTACTCTCTCCGTTTCACATTCACCTCGTACTCGGAGTAGTATTGAGCATAGAACTCTAGCTCAAAGTCCGCCCATGTTATTTCCCCATGGTACTTCCCTTCCACACTCTCCCACCACGTAGAGGCTATCCCATCAAGTAGCCGTGAAGCGACAGTCAACTTCACGTCCGGTGTGATTTGCATGTCTCTTGATGCATCCTTCACCTTCTTAATCCAATCGGCGGCAACGGTAATGTCACCGGTGCCGTCAAAGGACCTACACCCCAAGGCCCTAGCCTCCTTGAGGTACTTGGAGATTCTCACAACAAAACCTCCTTCACGCCCCCCTTGTGACGCCGCTGGGGTGGCCACGGAAGCTCCCCGGCTCCCTTGACCCGAACCACCACGAGAGCCACGCCTCGCTTGGCGCCTAAGGTCTCTCCTCTGTTTCTCCTTTTGATACCACTCAAGTAATTCACCCATTTGGGCGAAGCGGGCATCACTTTCATCATTGTCCTCATCGGTGTATGTGTCACCCCCATCATATGGGGTCTCCTCATGCTCTGTCTCAGGAACATACGTAGAGTCGTAGTCCTCGGTGTTGGTTTCATACACCGAGCTTACATGGCCATCACTCACAGTTTGAGCTTGATGACCTCCACGGCTTCCACGGCCTCCACGGCCTCCTCTTGAACCCCGAGATGCAGCCCGGCTTCCCCTTTGGGATGTTACCGGCGCCTGCCCCCTCGGATTGTTCCTGGTCCGCATTCGCCTGCCCTCCATTTCTGAAAGAAATATGGATGAGTCATTAGACTCCTATAAATGTCAATTGACGGAAGAACGTTACAGACACGTATTGGTCTAAGTCACCACCATACCAATTGTTAAGGGTACCGTCTTAACAATTAGAGGCCTTGCAACTTAGGCTCCAATAGTCCCATAACGTCAAAATCCAATGCTCATGGTTTTCGGTAAAAACTCTTTCATAAAATCTCATGTGAGAGGTTGATTATATAGTTTAGAACTGAGATGGCTCTGATACCACTTAATTGTCACGCCCCAGACCGCAATCCAAGCGCGTGTACAACCGCCGTATAATCAAGTGACGTCACCCGCGAGTCAACCTCACTTGATCACACAAGGCGTTCGAGAGAAATAATCCATCCATACTCAGCAGTAAACATACATAACAACATCACATTTAAACCAATGAATAGCGGAAGTATTCAACGGTAGTCATAAGCCACAACCGGCCAATAACATGGGCATGCAAGCCCCAAAAGAATAGTTTATGACAAATAAAAATATCCATGAGCAGTGTTTGGTAATTTGAAATGAAATGAGGAAGCACGAACCACGTCTTCCTTGATTTGATGTCACCCGTAGAAAGGTGCAGGTAGCAAGCCCTAGCTTCAACCTGAAAATGGTGGGGCCCCCCGAAGGGGTCAGTACAAGTACCGAGCGAGTAGCAGGCTAAATATAGAATAACTAGCGTTTCAAGTATAAGACCCAAACATAGGATGATACATATACGTATAGTCTTTCCCCCAAGTTTGAAATACATATTAGTATACATACACTTGGAAATACCCGACCCGTAGGTCATTGTTTATTTGGGAAAATAATAGTAGCCAATATCCTTGACTTAAATCCCAACCCACCCATATACCTATGAGTGTATAGAACTCCTCCTTGTTCAAATAAATTATCATGAGGACACCGCCCGGTCCTAGATCATTAAATGTAATCTATGAGTTTTGAGGATACACGCCCGATCCTTGGGTACTCCACCCTATAATTGAGTTTTGAGGATAACCGCCCGATCCTTGGGTACTCCACCCTATAGTTGAGTTTTGAGGATAACCGCCCGATCCTTGGGTACTCCACCCTATATAACCGAGTTTTGAGGATAACCGCCCGATCCTTGGGTACTCCACCCTATAATTGAGTTTTGAGGATAACCGCCCGATCCTTGGGTACTCCACCCTATATAACCGAGTTTTGAGGATAACCGCCCGATCCTTGGGTACTCCACCCTATAATTGAGTTTTGAGGATAACCGCCCGATCCTTGGGTACTCCACCCTATATAACCGAGTTTTGAGGATAACCGCCCGATCCTTGGGTACTCCACCCTATATAACCGAGTTTTGAGGATAACCGCCCGATCCTTGGGTACTCCACCCGACCTATGACTTACCACATATCACACTAGATAGGGTCTATATCATATTTAGCCATTCATAACTAATTCAATACATAAAACTTATGTATCACATTCCATGCAAGCCATGCAATTATGTAAATGTACAATTAATTAATATCGACCGGTATTAATTAATCCATTATCCACCGGTCAACGTGGTCGTTGACCGCCACTACAAACCTTGTACAAATCAACTTAATCATCACATAATTAAGTTAAAATATTCATTTGTGCTTCTAATACACTTCAAGCAAATATGCATTTTATATAATTCTTCATATCATATTCTATGCATAAACAATCTATTTCTTTCATACAAACTTAACCCTATTGGCTAATCACATGTTTAAATATCTTTTAAGCATCATTATGAATTCATATAACATTTATTTAGGTAATCTTATAATTAACCCAAAAGTTATAAGATATTAAGCCGTCCACTCACCTTGAACTAGCGTTATGAAGTTCTACCCTTCTTGGTTGAACTCCGGTGAAACTCCGGTGACTTTTGGTCAACTCCGGCGACAATTCCGGCGACTTTTCCAACGTTGTGAAATCACTTGAAATACCCTTTACAAGTGCCTAACAAGGTTTTAACATCATAAAACCTTAATCAATACGAATAACCTATAAAAGGTTATTTTCCGGTGAACCGGTCGTTTTGGCTTCTAAGTCCGTTCTTGGACATAGAATCACTCTCCAACCCATAAATCTATACTTATAACATGTAGAACCCTCTTAAGGATCCTTCACATGATATATATCTTATATGGTAGAAGAAAAATAAAGGAGAAGTTATAATAAGGTCATTACCTTAATTATTTCACACTTTTAGCACTTTAGCTATTTTTCTTGAAGTCCTTCCTTGTGGAGCTTTCTTCAAAAATGGAGAATGAAGGATGGAGGATTTTTTCTTTGTTCTTCCTTGGATGCTGGCCGCAGGGGTGAGGAGAGAAATGTGAGGGGATGTCCTTTGTCTCAAAGCTCAAATGAGGGTGGATGGGGGTCCACCTCATTTGTTTGATGCCTTTTCTCTCAACTCAAAGTCCTCCCCCATGTTCCCCATTCTTACTAGCCGGCCAACCCATTAATTTGGGTTGCTAAAAACGTGGGTTGGCCCCCACACATGTGGGAGGTCAACCCTTTTTGTCCAGAAGTGTACAATCGGTCCCGAAAGTTGTATTTTTCGGACCGTTTTAATCATATTTTATTTTACCGGGTCAAATAAAATATATTATGTGCTCTTACTCATTATGACATGTATAATGAATATACATTCCCCAACTTTAATTTATAAGCCTCCGAAATTCATTTCCGGGCTGTTACCTGTTAAATTGTCGGTACCGGTAATTGGACCTCTTTTTCCCAATCGGCCAACTCTGCGCCTTTCCACGACCCAAATAAAATATCCACCACTATATAAATATTATCTTGACTAAGATGAATAAAATATGTGGTCTCGGGAGTGTCGGGCGGCCCCCGCTCCCGGTGTGGGTCCCACGTGCAATTTACTATTCACGCGAAAGAAATAATAAAAATTTACAACCTCGTAAATTCATTAATTCTTTAAGAAGGTTCAATACATTATTTACATAAAAGTAAATATATTTGGGGACGGTGTTACAGGCCGGTCCTCAGCCTGGGCCATTAACCCAACACAAGTCCCCCACTTCTGATGTTCTGAGCATGCACAGGACATAAGGAAGTATGATCTCCCCCGAGGGCAAGAGGCTCGTGACCTGGTACTTGTGTTGTTGCATCCGGTGAAGGCGTACGCTCGTGGGCATGATGCCTAACAGCTGTCGATGGCCCAGGAATCGAGGTGACGGCTGCCATCGCGACGGTGCATTTTCCGAGGAAACGCCATCATTACACTTCCATCCCACGCACGGCGCGTGGGCCGGAATACGCTCCTTGCTACGTGTCAATCCCTCGTTGGTTCCCTCACCGGTGCTTCCCCTATAAATGCCGGGTTTTCCCTCTGGATTAGGGTTCCCAATTTCTGCTCTCTTGCTCTCGAATTTCCGCTGCTCTTCAAGTCTTTTCCCGCTCCCGAGTTCGGCTAATCTCCTCGTAAGGTAATTCCCATCCTCTACTTCTTTTATCTTCCTTGAATTCTCATCGAGATGGTCTCAATAGAGATTTCGTCGAGTTCTAATTCCGGTTCGTCGGGTTCCTCTTCGGGCTCCTCTTCCGACTCCGGTTCACGCTCTTCGGGCGAGACTAGCACTTCCGGCAGTTCCGGCTCGGCCCCTACCGTGGGAACTGTTCAGGCCGGGAGAGCCCCGAATGATGTCGTCGCGATTATCCCTGGCGATGAGGGTGCTGATTTGGGAGGGCAAGATAATATGGCCCTCGATGTGGTGGACCCCGCGGCTGATGCTGGGGAGCAGGCTGCTCCTGGCGAGGACGGTCGTCCGGCTGGATATGACTCTGGGGCCCGAGGCCCAGGATGGCTCTGACATCGAAGCGTTTGACCTCGGGCTAAAAGTGGATGTGGAGCGGCATCTATGCCCGATCAAGAACGTCCTCTGCCATGAGCAGATTTTCTCGCCGGTGGCCCTTAACAAGCTCAAGGTGTTCTTCCCCCCTCCGTCCGTATACAGCCTCCGTGGCGCCACCCATGTGATGAGAAGACGCCCAGGGATGATTATGGTGCTTCTGGACTCCATCGAGGCCAGGCTGCGCTTCATCCGTTCTATGTGGAGTTCTTCTGCTGTTACCAGATAGCCCCCGCACAACTCATGCCGAATTCATACCAGTTTGTCTCCGCCTTCCTGGTCCGTTGCAAGGACAATGGGGTTACCGCCACCCTGGACTTGTTCCATTACTTCTACCGGCTCACCCCTCAAAATTCTGACGGTTTCCTAAGCATCGCAGCTCGTCCGAAACGGAAGCTGTTCAGCGGCGCACCGAGTTCCATCCATGATTGGAAGAATCGGTTCTTCTTCGTGCGGTATGCGGATGCTCGTCTGCCATTGCAGTGGAATGGCTATCCGCCCAAGATAGGGTCTCCGGCTCTGTCCGATGATCTGGAGGAAGACATCAGAAAGATCTCGACGGGCGGCATCCGGCCCTTAGATGACTTCCTCACTTTCGAGGCACTCGCCGCGGCAGGAATAGGTACCGCCCATGCTCTTGGACTTCCCCCCTCCTACGCTCGTCTCGGGGTACTGGGCGGTCCTGACCTCCGAGGTGAGTGTTCCGAGTTATTCCTGACGTTCGTCCATCTAACATTGTCATTTTTCATTTTGTCAGGTCTTCCCCCGACCCAGGAACAGATGAATCACGAGAAGCTCCTCAAGACGAGGAGAGGCAAAGGTGCTGCTGCCGATGCTGCCCTTGCCAAGGCCAAGGCCGTCCAAACAGCCGACTTCAATTCTTCCGCCTCTCAGGCCGACCGTCGCACGGTGGAGGCGGAACAGCACTTCATTGCCACGGTGATGGCACAGGGGTCCCAGGCCGCAATCCTTAACTCTGGCGCTTCCGAAATCGTGGCGCCTTTGCAGACCGTCCATCCCCATGACGGGGAGAAGGCGAAGGACAAGAAGTCCAAAAGGCCCCGGGGGGCTTCCTCTTCGGCCCCCGAAGAGCAAGAGTTGATTCTTCCTTCCCTTGGGCGTCCGGCTCATGACGTCTGGCAGGAGATTGCTTCTCTGGTCGGCGTGGAAGTGCCTCCCCGGACGTCTTCGGAGGCTTCCAATGCGGCTCTGGCCGCCGCTCTTCAGGTGAGACTTCGCTCCCTGCCGGGCGCTTGATTACCTCATTCTGATGTCTTGAAGTCTCACCTTCTGTGTTTGATTTGTAGGTCGGGCTCTCCGTTCTGCAATCCGAGGCCGCCCGAGATGCCGAGGTCCTTCAGGCAAAGAACAAAGCGGACGCGGCCTTAAAGAAGGCGAGAGAGGCCGCTCGTCTTCAGGAGAAGGAGATGGCGGCCAAGGACAAAGAACTGCAGGCTGCCCTGAAGGTAGCTCGCGAGTCCTCCGCGAAGATCGCGGTTCTGGAGAAGGCCGGGTTCAAGCTCGTCCCGACTCTCCCCGCTCCCAAGGATGAGGCCCCTGAGTGGCTCGTCGATGATTCCGGGTACCATAACTCTGGGGCTTTCATGATCGCCGCCCAGAGGTACCTTGGGGGCGCTTTCGGCGATGTATTCGCCGCCGAGCTGCAGAAGCGTGCGCCGAAGGACCGGCTCAAGTTCGGGGTCCAGGTCCTGGAGAGTGCCCCCCTGGCCGAGAAGTTCTTGTACGATGTTGGAGATTCCTCCTTCGTCATTGGCTATAATGAAGGGGTGAAGGCCACGCTGCCCGTATTTGCTGCTCTTCAGGGCCCCGGATTCAACCTGGCCCAGCACACCACGGACCCGGAGCTGATTCGATCGGTGGGCAAGCTGGAGCGGGACGCCCGACGGGAAGAAGCCAAAGCCAGGGGTGATGTCCCGGAGCCTCCGACCCCCGAGCCCGAGCCCGAAGAGGACGAAGAGACCATTCCTGGGGGGGTCCCGGCCTGTTTCCCCGAATTTTGTTTAATGTAGCTTGTAACCTCTTTATTATGATTCTGTAATATTCGGCCAGTAGAGCCGAGGAATACACAACTCTTTTTGCCCCATCATTGTCTCTACGTTCATGAACTCTTCTCGTTTCCTTTCATTGTTAGTTATATTTCGATTTCTAAGTTTGTGAGGACGTTCATGTCCATAATTCGTTCCTGTACCCCAATCTTTCGAGATACGAACGTATGGTTGGGAGTTCACCCCATGTGTAAACCACCTCCCGCACCGTACGTATTCAAAGAGATGTACGGGGATGTGACCGTATTCCCATGGTTACAGGCATAATCATCCGTGCTGTGCGCGCCCAACTTAAACTTTATGGGGCGACGTTCGTCTGTATAACTAGATGTGGGGATACGGACGCACTCCTCAGAGACAATGCCTTGATAGAGATGTTCGTCGCGTTAGGAGTAGCATAACCTTTCATGCCGTGTGCTCAACCCAGATATCGTTCATGGACGTCCGTCTGGTCGCGTGTTGCGGTGGTGCGAAGCATGGAAATATGAACGCATCCCGTGGATACGCACGTCTCCTCGTGAGTTTAGCCTGTGGATGCGGTCTCTGTGTGCCTCTATGGGGGACGTTCGTGGCACCAAACCGGGTTCCTTCGTGGTGAACGTGGGGTGGTAATATCGAGGCGCCTTTAATACCGTGGTGGGTACCGGTATCCAGGCGCCACTTGTTCCACCGCGATTGGTGCGCTCCCGCGGTGCTGTCTATAAGTATCCAAGATCTCGCGAATTCCCCATTCGCTTCATTTCTAGCTCTTGTGCTGCGCAACTACTTTCTCTCTCTAGCTTTCCTCTGCGTAGCTTCAGGCTCGAACCCCGGTAGGTACCGAACGTCGTCATGTCTTTGTCTAGGTTAGAAACCCAAAACATTGATTCAAGGACCCGAAGCAGCTCGTCGTCCGCCGGGGATAGGTTTGACGACGGGTGTTCCTCCGGTGATGATCTAGAGTTCTATGAGCGGGGTATGCCACCTCGGCCCCCCGCCATCATCTGAATTTCTCCGGCATTCGTCGTCAGCGCCAACGTTTGTTGAATGCGGACCGCCGGTTGATAAGCCAATGGTTCCTCCCTCCAAGGGTTTACGACGATCGTCGTCTGCGCAACCCAATGCGCCATCTGCCCGGCTATGTGGTGGTCCATCTAGACTCCGTTATAGCTGGCCTTCTTTTCCCCCTCCATAGCTTCCATATAGAGCTTTTTAGGAGCCTCAGAGTGACGCCTGCTCAGTTCGTCCCCGCTGCTTACAGGATTATCGCGGGTTTTATAATTAGATGTCATAGTGTTGGCGTGACCCCCACCGTAAACTTATTGCACCACTTCTTCTGGTTATCCCCCTTCGGACGTACGGGGTATTTGACCCTGATTGCGCGTCCGTCCATGGTTCTGTTCTCAAACAACGCCGGGAACCCGGACGGCTGGGAGGAGCGGTTCTT